CAAGTGTTTTGTAGGTGTTGATGATTTTGGTGGGGAGTGAGTCTTCTTGTATTACCAGTTTAGTTCTTCCTTTGGGCGGTTTATATTTTTGTTCTTGTTTTGATTTATTTAGTCGTTGGTTTATTTGCATGATTGGCATTTTGTCAAATGTGATATGAGCTGAATTTCTTTTTCATAGTGTAAACTCATTCTTTGTTAAAATATAATATTTTTCTTGTGAAATTTCAAATTTTGGTGCCTATTACACTGTTGTAATACAAAATGTGATAGTTATCTTTAAGATGAAAGTGATCAGTTAACCTGTGTTTTGTGATGTTTTAAATGTTTACATTGTGCATCTCATCTTAAATTGTATTAGTAACTTCAAACCTTTGAATCTTATTACATCAAATTGATATCATTGATGATGCGTACATCATCAAGTCAACCAAAACTAGAGCATATTAATTGGGCCAATAAAAAAAATAATGAAAGATGCAACTTGAACAAAAACAGACAAATTATGATTCTGAATGAATAGAATGTAACTATCTAGAGAATCAAAATTACATTCTTACCTTCAATGAGAGGTCTAACCTTGATGAAAGGTTTGGTGGCCTCTGTTTGAATTTTCTCGCATTTTTTCAATAAATAAATAAAATTATATATATATATATATATATCCATACAGAAACTATTGAGACCAATTATTTTAATGGGCTTTGATGAAATAATTGTATTATATATGCATATTATGATACGCTTACAAATGTTTTCACTATACATGATTTGCCTTAAGATTATATTGGAGTCATTATTTGTTTATTGAGAGATTAAGGTTGATTTAAGTCGCCAAAAAATTTTGGCGAGGCCTTAATTTTTTTGATGAGTAGTTATATTATTAAGAGTCTCTTAGTAATACCACACCAATAATCTTTAGAGAGGAAACTTTTAATTCTTCTCTTAAACCTTCCAAGTCTATTTAAACAGTAAAAGTTTGCTTAGGAGAGTTTAATCTTATTGAAAAAAATATAATTCAAAAATATATTTTTGAAATGAATTTGACAAAGATTATAGTTAGAATTGGATTATTTTCATGATGTGTAGTTTGAATACGCCATTACATTTGATGTTGTGGAGTTTGAATATGCAGCTATATTAGAATGTGAATATGAATATATACTTCTTGATGACAATCAAATTTGTGTTTGGAACATGAGATTTCATGTGAATCAAAATTTACGTGCCAACAACTTGACTACCTCATACATCAAAAGATTAGAAAACCATCTTGAACCTAGGGATCATGCATTTCTTTGTGACATATTGTGTTTCATGATGGCTAGACTATTACGATATCATAGTTAGAGAACATTCTTGTTATAAAAAGGTCTTTCAACTCCAAAGATGAAATACTTTAGGAACTTGCTTTTATGATAGGCCACACACGCGCGCACACACACACTGGATAATAAAATCTTGCAATCTTAATCAAGTGTTATCTTTAGCTAAGCAAATAATTGTATGTCTTATTCCGGAACTAGTAGGAAAAATAATGGAAACACAAAAACAAATTTTCATTAATATTAAAATAGGGTTACAACATGACACAAACGAGAAATTACAACACAAAACATAAATTACACAAGTAAACACCTCTCAAGTGTATTCCAAGGGTGATGTAGGCTGCTAGGGAAATTGACTCCACACAGGAGATCTAAAAACAAACACAGCAAGAAGTGACTCCCACCACAGAGGACATAAACTAAATGCATCAAGGTAAAGCTGCAAGTATAGGGCGGTTGAGTGCATGAAATGAAGGAGGGAGAGTTCTATAACTACGGAGAGGCGAGGAGACAAATTGAAGATGAAAGGGAAAATGATACAACAACACCTCGGAGTAGGATACAACTAGAGCTTCACTACCTCCTCAGATACTGCCCTAGAACAGGGGAAATGACTCCACATGAGATTTGAAAACAAACACAACAAGAAGTGACTTCCACGAACCGAGGACAACAATTTATATACACTCACTGAACAAAGCTACACATAAGGAAGGGGTGGGAAGATAAAAAGATTCTGGAGAGCAACCATTAAAATACTTCTTAAATGAAGAAGACGAAGGTGCGGTAGTTTGCTCGTTCATGATTCGGTTCGCGTTCTCTACCTTCGTGATCTCCCGCGATGCTTCCGCCTTCATGATCTCCTGCTCATCCTCTTGCTGGTTCCTGATGGTTTGCAAGACCCGCTGGCCCTGCGTGTTTTGAGCGGCTCGCTTCGAGGACGCTTTTAGCGCCTGTGCCAAGGGCGCTTTTCAACATCGCTTCGGTGTCTTTTCCCCAATATAAATTGATATTGATTAAAAAAGTTCATATAACCTATCAACTAGTTGCTCTCCCATGATTAAGAGAGAGAATTATTTGTGGAAGCATGTCTCAATGTGAAAACTTTGAATAAAATCATAAAGTCCTTGTTAGAGGATAAAATTTCCGTGTCATGGCTTATTTAATATCCTATTTAAATTTGGAATTGTAATTAATTTGTTTGTGAGATTAATTTTGAATCTAACCCTCAAATAGACGTTGTATTTGAATCTGAATTGAACCTACAATCATATTTGAATTTAAATTGTAACTATGATCTGAATTTAAAAATGAATGTGAATTTGAGCTAGCATTGGAAATTGATTCTACTTTTGAGTATGAACCTAAATTTCAACTTAAAATTGTATTTAACCCTAAATACCAAAACATATATGTTGTAGGTGATGAGCCAATTGAATAAATTGATATAGCCATTCCAAATGTGAAATAGTTATGAACTTGAGCTTCCAGTATAAATTGAATCTACTCTTTGCTGTAAACTTGAACCAATTATGTCTATTGAAAGTAATAAAACTCATTGAAGCTTCTGATGAAAAAACTATAGTTGTTGTTTCTAACCAATTCTGGTCTGCAAATCAAACTTTTTATTATTGATTTTTTGGTGTATAAATTCATAAAAAAAGATTTATTGAGAAACTAAAATTCCATCAATATTTTGATTTTGATGATAAGGAAAGCCATAAAAGAAACCAGAATGTTACTGTTTGGTCAATTATGAAAATGCATAAATCATCAACTGTTGTATTTAACTATTTGGGTAGCTCTCTTTTAAAAAATTGTTAGACTATGTAGGCATTTCATAATTGTTTAGTTTTTAAATTTTTTGTTATCATCTACTTTATAGGACTAGGTTATAAATCACTTGGCTGGTTATGAAAATGCATACATCGTTGCTTATAATATTTATGCTATTGGGGCGGATTTCCTTGAGGAGATTATTCGTTCATATTGCGCTTTCATATTTATTTAGTTTGCATATTTTCAACTTTTTTATTCTCATTATACAAGACTAGATTATAAGCTAATTATTCATTTTATATTATTTTGTGTGATTTGCATTAAGAAATTGCAAAACGCTAACTATTGATTTTGATAATTATAAATCTATTATTGATCTGAATGGACGGCATTTAAATGTCAAGCTAAATGATGAGATAGTGATATGTCTGAATCTTGAAAGACTTCATATAGGAACCTCTAAGAAATTAACTACTAGAAAGTCAAAACCATTTAAGCCATATAATGCATTAAGATAAATTTCAAACTTTAATTTATCCTAATTGACTTTGTTTTATGAACCTATCGAACTTGTTATGGGTTCCTTTTTTCAATGTCTAACCTTATCAAATAAGTTTATTCCATTTGTTTTCAAAATTATTATTGATGATGACGTAGTGTCACAATTGATGATGAGATTGTGCCACAATGGTTGGTGGATACTAGATGTATCTTATACATTAACATAACAAATCCACTTATGATGACTAATGAATTATTTTGTAGAAAACATAATAGTTACACCCATACTTGACGAATACCAAATGCCCAATTTGTTTGAACTTTAAAAATATGTACCATCTAAAATATAGAAAGTGACAAACCTCTGAGTTTTATCATTGCATTTATTTATTTATTTGCTAAACATGCCTATGATGAGAACTCTTATATGAAATTGATTTGTTATGCAATATTTTGACTATATTGTTAGGATAAATTCATTACAACAAGATTTCAACTCAGCTTATATTTACTTTTACTAGCACGAGCACTGAAAAGCATCACCAGATTTCTTTGAAATGGGGTTATTTCTTTTTCAAGTGACAAATTAGAACAATGGAAGCGACAATATCCAATAATTTTTCCATCTTTGTGAATATTTTAATTTCTTGGTTTGATTATTTCCCAAGGGCACATGCACCCAAGGGTAATCAATTCTCCCATAAAGACCAACACCTTGACCAAGGAAATCGGCACTAGCTCTCTCATTAGCGCATTGCTACCATGCCTCTCAGGTGCGTCGCGACCATGCCTCGGTGTAAGAGAATTGATTATTAACTCTTGTTCTGAGAGGGGTTTGGTTTGAGGGATAATAATTTGTTTTATTAAGATCCAATGTTTCCATATTCCAAGCTGATGATGAAATTTGATTTATTTTATTTTATCAACAGTGGACTGATCCCAATATCTTTGTTAGCAACTAAATGTTATGTAGTTCAAGGGACCTTTTAGAGCCACGGTGGGATCTAATGAAGTGGTGAATTTTAGGTCGACCTAGACTGACATAAGGCCTTTTACCCTATTTGTTGCAACAAACAATGCTTGAAGCTTTGACGTTACCTTTTGGGGTGTAGTAGACTTTAGCCATAATCATAATGTAATGGTGCTGTCACATTTAGGTTAACTACTTAATTAGATGGCTTTAATCATAATCTTGTTATAATGGAGTTGTCCATTTAGACCAACCATTTAGGTTAATTATTTAGTTAGAGGATGTATTACTTGTCCTTATTGTCATTAAATATTGAGTTGTTCTTTTTCAACAACACATAATATTGAATTAGTCATTTTTTTGGGTGCATATGTATAATATTACATTAGCTCATTTGTTTTTATGTGTTTATTTTTATTTGATAGGGGTCCGAGTTGATTTTGTCCATGAGGAAAAGATTGTTGATATATTGGTGCTTCCTTGGGACTAAACAACAGGTTGGTTACAAGTTGTTTGAATTTTGGCTTCTGGTTTGATGGCTTGCAGTTAAGCATGACACCACTGAGGTATATAAATTTAATTTTAGCGGAGGCGGTGCTTAGGTTGATAGGGCAACTACAAGGGATAAATTGGTGAAGTGGCGTGGTGCTGGTTTATCTGAATTAGTAGGGTGGTACGATCCATGAGGAAAGTATTAGAGGCTTCTAGCAATGTTCACCTATTCAACCACAACCTAGTTAAGCAAGTTTGGGTTATCGATGACCCATAGAATTTTAGTTTGGGCTCTAGAGTGGTAAGATAATTGGGCTTTATGTGATTTTAGAGTTTTATTCTAGCCTTATTTCAGAGGGTTGAAAGGTAGATTGTTGTATTTTAATCTTTCATTCACTTTGGGGATATTAACATTTCTTGAAGGTATTGATGTCTCTAGGGTGCATCTATTGTGCTGAACTTATTAAGGGGAGAGCGAGGGATCCAATTAGGGTGATTGTTTAACCTCATCCTAGAGGGGCTAGAGTTTGCGCAATTTAATGGGTGCATTTGAATTAAGGGCTGAGCTCCTTTGAGTACCTTAGTCTTTGCAGAGCTTTTGTTTTTTATTGGGATTATTTTAGCCAAATGTTGGAGGGAGGATTAGTTTCTCCTTATATCTAGGGACAATTTTACCTCAATTGAGAGGATTTTCACGTCCTTGAGTTACTTTAGGAAATCAACAGTTTTAATTGATTTAGGCTGTTTTCATAATTTTTATCGAAAATAAAATATTCAAAACGTGAAAAGTTAGAGTTTAGGCTTGCCATTTTTATAGGTGGAAGATATTTTTGAAGGGGGTCTTCCATTAAATTTGAGAAGTTCTTGGTTAAGAATGATTTTGTAGAATTTTTAGAAGTTTAAAACTAGCCTCAAAAGATGTAATTATTGTAATCTAATCATTTTGAATTTGAACTTTAAATTTTATGGTTTGTGGACCCCAGTGAGAGGAGGCAATAATGAAAATTTCAAATTTCTGAATTTTAATGTTTTTTTTTTTAAAGATCGGTGGAAATTTGTTATTTTTTATTTTTTTTAATAATTTAAATTTTGAAATATTTAATTTTTTACTATAATTTTCATCATGTGTAGAGCTCTTGAAAGGTGATTTGTCTTCATATTTCATACTTTATGGATCTATGCCTAATTTTTGTTGATTCTTAAAATCAGTGCATGGACCACTAGATTTAACCAGAATTGCATAAATTTTAGACTTTTCGATTGGTTTAGATCTCGAATTTTCCTGGTTAATGAGTTGTCAGGGGGAACCTTCTGAAGGTTGTGGGATTGATTTGATTAGACAATTTCAAATTTTCTTGGTTGCATTTGGCTTTAAATAGGAGTGAGCTTTAGCCATTTCTTCTGCTTCAAAGTTTATAATAATCTGTGATGTTTCAGTTTTCATTTTGTTCTCTGCATCCAAGAGGTCTTCCAAGCCTTCATGCAGTCATGATGGTTTAGGACACTAAGACATCTCCTTAAGCAGATAATTGTGTTTGGGGTGACGCTTAGCTTGGGCTCTACCAAGACATTTTTCGGCGCTGACAAATTTTTGGTCAAACAATATGAAATTTACAAAATAGATAACATGAATTCTTGTAGATAGATGATGACGCTTCAATGTGGTATCTCTGCATAGATAACTACACATTTGTGAGTATTGTAGATAATAGTAGCTAATTTTGATATTCATCTAAGTAAACCACACATGAAGTAGATGAAAATAAAGGAGAAATGATGGAGGGTGATAAGAGAGATGAGTTTAGAAGAACTCCCCAATACCTTTCTCCTTTGATTGCATGTAAGATGCAACTTTTTTATTTTAATAAATATTAAGTAATTATTTGGAATTATATATATTTGTTGTTTTTACATTAAAAGTGACCCATTTTTGCTCTAGTTAAGAATGTTAACTTGAGGAGTATGATTTTTATTTTATTTTTTATCCTTACTGTGCTTAATCACCTGATCATATTGAGTTTGAGTCCTCGTTTTTTCACTTAGTTCCTTAATATTTTTCTTATCCATACCTCATTCTCATTTTAGGCTTTCATAATTAGAGTAAGGATAGGGCAAATACCACATTACCATTGTAGGAAAGGGGGTTTGAGAAGTGCCCAACGATTCTGTTCCCCATCATAAAATTTCCTTCTTATTCTTCTTTGGTTGAATCTGGTGCATGTCCATGCTATTGATTCGTAACATCTTAATTGGTTGGTCATGATTTGCGCATCAAAACTTTTTTATGCAATAATATCATTGGTTTCAATTATTTATCCTCATCATTTTTTCAAGATTATGTGTTAGTCTGGTATGTTCACACACTCTTGATTTCAATATAATGTCATGCTAGATTAATCTTAAACTCTGGTAAGTTCACACATTCTTCATTGGCTATTATCTTGGAGTTGATTTTAATAATTGTATTTAGTTATTTGATAATTCTATAATTGTGTGTTATACTTTAGGGACATTTACATGCATACCACCCAACTCCTATCTATTTACATATCTAACACTTTATCTTTACTTTTTACATTTATAACACCCAAATCTTTCATGTCACATAAAAAATACTAGTATTTTGACTTTAAAAAGTAAAATACACTTTTTACGCATAGGTGAGATCTCATGCAAGTAAAAATTGAAGTTTATGTACATATGTAAATATTTTTGAATAGAGTGGTATGTGTCACGACCCGACCCGGGGGCTTAGAATTGTTCAAGTCGGGTATGGATGGTCGGACGGTGAAAATCATTTTTCTATATTCATTTTCTATAATTGACGTTTAACAAATGAAAGAGTCACTGCAGAAAATAAATTAAATTAAAGCAGTTATAAATTTACCTTAGGTCAGGTTATATGTGTCTTCTATAAACATTTGATCTTTTTCTATTGCTCATCTTTTAATGAAATGATTTAACATATAATATTATCTAAAACAACAGGAAGCTAAAAATTATCAATGAGTACACTTACTTCTAAATCACAATAACGTAACGAAAATGAAACAATATGTATATGCGTTAAACTTTTATTAAATCGGTATAAAAGTATTTGATAATTTATAAATATGATCGATAATGATGTTTCATAACATTCAATGGCTTTTGCTATATCAATAACATGTTCATATCATTTTATATTTGTACAACCTTATCAAAAACATCATATAAAATTGTTACCATTTAAGGTATTTCAATATCAAATTTTTTTTTTCATTTACGTGCACGTATACTTTACTATTCCTCCACTATTACCATAAAAGGGCAAATTTCATTATAGTCAAGTATGCACATGCAATCAGTCTATGTAGTTTATAACATTAGTCTATTTCATTCAATTCAATATATTTTATATTCATTTACATAATGCACGTAGCATTTCTAAAATATAAATTTGTCACAATCATATGACCAACATCTAAAAAAGCATTTAAATCACAGTATAGTGCAATCAAGTTTCAATAATAATCAATGGATTCAATTTAGAAGAAACAAAATCTACTATTACTTGAAAGTAAGTACTCATTTTGATTTCAACTTAAGAAATGATCCCTTTCAAAACTTTTTCTTTCAAAGCTTCAATTTTCTCACTTCGTTATATTTCATAATATCCAAACATTAATATGTAGCAATTTATAATTAAATTGACTAAAAGATTACCAAATAAAGACTAATCTAACCTCTTTCACTTCTTCTTTTGCATAATCCAATCTTGCTGATCCTTTAATTAAATTCTGGCCTTTGTTCTCTCATTGTTTGGCTTTGCAAACGCGCTCGAGGTCAGTTACTACTGCACTTGTCTCCTCCCTAGCTGCTCGATCCCTATCCTTCGAGATCGATTTTCCTTTTGATGCAGAACACGTCTTGTCTTTCTCTCTTGAGCCACTCAATGATCAACATGCAGGTACTCCTTCAGTCTCCTCCCACTCGCGCAAATTCTGATTTTTTTTTTTTTTTGCCTCTGTCATTCAGTTCCTTCTTTCAATCTTCTTTGTCTCTTCTTAAAATATCGCAAGCACCCTCTCATACTTGACTCCTTTCTGCTCTATAAGACTCCTATGTAAGAGTGGTGTTGGGTTAATAGCGGGCGTTACAGTATGTAAGTAAATTTTTCTATACTGTAAGGTCTCCTATGATTCTGTGATCTGAGAACTGTATCTATGATTTGAATCGTCAGCACTGTATCTAAAGAGGCAGATATCCGTCATTCCATTCATTCTTTTGTTCAGAATCTTAGCGAGCTTTATTAACTGTATTTGCTTGCTGGTCAGGGTTGTTCTTTGATATCTAATTATCTTTAGAAAGGTGTTAGACTCATGCTCTAAAACTATTAAATTTAGGGACATTTACATACATATCACCAATTCCTACGTATTTTCATACCTAATATCTGAATTTTGCCTTTTACATCTGTATCACCCAAATCTTTCATATCACTATCACCAACTAAAATTTTAAAAAGTGAAATACACTTTTTATGCATAAATAAGGTGGTATGTGAGTAAAAGTTGAGGTTTAGTTGTCAGATATGTAAATACATATTAATTGAGTGGTATGTATGTAAATCTTCCATAAATTTATGTGCGAGTATTCCTTGATAGGCGAGTTGCATCTTTACTTGTATTTGTTGGTTCAGACTTTCTCGTGCCATTGCTCCCGCAATTTGTTTGGTTCCATCTTTCACCTAATCCTAAGTTGTCATCGTGTTGATCTTAATATTTTTTCTTTCTACAACTGTCCTTATAAATGCATGATGTCCTCAACAGATCTCATAAGAATTTGTCATAAAGTTTCATTGAGATTCTGTTTATAACCTTTCCTAATTAATCCTTGCTAATGCGATGTCATCCCATAATAATACTCTATATTAATCATTCAAACAAATCTAATTAATCAGAATCCTGATATAACTCGGTTCTTTAAGATATTCTTATTTGAAAGTTTGGCAGCATAAGCTGAATATTATCATTTTCTTAAAGATATTCTGTTATATCTTCTCCACAGTTAGCGTTCTATGACTTCACTTTCTGCTTATGCATCTAATATTTTGTCCTCTATATTAAACTAATTTTTATTAGCCTCAACATTTGGTTTTGCTGAGCAAATTTATTTTTCTCCATGGCCAGGAAGTTTATGGAAATTTGCAAGAAATGATTGCCTCAAAGGATGCTTGCACTGGCGAGCAAATAACAGACCACTTCAAGAGACTGCTCAATGTGACGAGAGCATCAAATTTTGAAAAAGTTGAACAAGAATGCCATCTATCAGAAAGATTACTTGCAGTATGTTCCCTCTTAAGTTTTTTATATGTCAAGGAAAATCATAATTTTGCAGTACACAATATTAATATATTTAATCAATGTGACAAGAACATCAAATTAAATCATAGTTTTTAATTGTGCATATATATATATATATATATATATATATAAAAACCAAATGCTAATATATTAAATAAAAAGAAGAGTAAACATAGATTTTGTTGAAGATCCCAAACATGGCACCTAGCCCACACAAAACCACCAAATCAAATGGTTCTAAATAAAAGAGAAAATACAACAAAATACATAAGAGAGCTAAATAAAAAATTAAAAAGTGCCAAAATTAGAGTATCAGGTAGCTGGAGAGCGACCCGATTTTGCCTTGCCTCTGCCTCTAGTTCTAGGAAAGAAGTCAGCTAATAAATTGGTCAGATGAGTGTCATTGCCAGTAGTAACCAATGTATCATCCAATAGATTCCCTAGCTCGAGTCGTCCTCCGTTCTTTTTCTTCCTCCTCGTATAGACCTCCCATTCCTCATTCGAAGATTGGCTCGCCTGATCAGCAGAATGGTCTGAAGTGTGCAGGATATGTGTAGGTTGTTGAGCATTAGAAGCAACTACTTGTTGTACCAGCTGATCTTCTATCGGGTCGAAGCAGCACTCTCGTGTGTCTTGACGTGTAAGTGGGTCTTTTTCTTCAATAACAGTAAGTGGTATCAACACATTTGGATCTATACATGTAGTAAGATGTTCTTCATCTGGAACTGCGATGTTGGAAAGATGATCAGATTGGACCTTCTCAGCAAAGATGGTAGGTGGTTGATCTTTAGTGACATTCGGTCTTATATGAGGATGCAAGCGATAGCAAATAATAGAACTGTGGCCAAACATACTACAATGAGAGCAATAAGGAGGATGTGGTTCTATCTCAACCTTTTGCCAATACCCGTTGTGAATAGTGTCAATCCATATATCATCCGAAGCTGGTTGAGTGATATCTCTCTCAACTAACAAAGAAGCCACAGAGGGTCTGGTGATAGCAAGCGTAGGACTATCCATCTTGAGAGGCTTACCATAATAAATTGCTAAAGAGTAGAAGATTTCTATGTTGAACAGATGTAATTTTAACCATGGAAAATTTATCCAAACTGGAATGATAGGGGATTCCGCTTTTGGATCAAAATCGACAGTCCACTTTAGAATTTTCATGAAACGATTGTCGATCTTGATAATTTTTCGAGAGAATGCGAGTGTAATCGGCATCGTGAGATAGCTGAATAAGTATATGTCGACTATCTAGCAGACCAATGTTCCAACTGCCCAATAGTTTCATAGCATCAAATTCTTTCCTAATGATCTCCAGTTTTGGAAGACCATAAAGGAATTTCCCCACTAGAGCTAAACGCCAAGAGGAAGCTAGAGTACCAGTTTCAACCTCAGTGAGAATAAGTGCAGTCTTCCCATTTTTTTTTCCAAGCTTTTTAATAAAAGTGTGATCACCGCCACCTTTAATAGCCTCGTGGTGCGATTGTGAAACATTACAGGACTTGCCGATAGTAAAAACAGACTTTGAAGCTGGAGGAGAGGCACGAGCAGGACTAGGCAAGTCGCCGGTAAGGGCATTTGCATAGGAACGGAGCGTCGAGGCCATCTCCCTCATAAGATAAGCGAGGAAGCTGTTGGCGCTTTCGGGCTCGGTTCGTCTGGAGCAAAGCAGCGCACAAGAGGTGTTGCCGACTGCGCAGAACTATCACAACTTGACCGCAAGCCGACCGCGCACAGACATACGACGAAAGAAGAGGCAATGTCTGTCGTCATCTACGAGTGCACAATGAACGTCCTCGAAGCTTGCAAAAGAGATGACGAAGCTCAACGAAGCTTTTCAAAAATAGAGGAGCGAAAAAATGCCGTAGCAGAGGCTAGGGTTCGCCGTGAGGCGAAACCCTAGCAGAACGAGAACGAAGACATGATATAAATCACACCCCACCAATATTATGACATGATGGAGTATTCTAGAAGATGGAGGCCTAAAGAACAACCTAGAAGAATCTAGAATATGTATGTACATAAGAATAGTGTAGAACTATCTAGAAGCTAGAATATTATATTGTAAAGTTCCCCTTCGAGAATAGTCCCACATTGGCAATATGTAAGGCCAAAGCCATGGAGGGAGCTATAAATAAGTGTCACTTCCCTCATTCTAAGGCATCCAAGATTTCAAGCTTTCAAGCTTTGTAATCTCTCTTTATTAGTGAAGTTTTATCTTCTCTAAATCTTCTTCTTATTCTGCTTTCAAGAGAGTGTTTTTGAGTTGTTAGTTGGGATTTAGTGCTAAGAAAGAGCGCTAAAGCCGCACGGGTGACTTGAGGAAAGTTAGTCCGTGACAGTTGGTATCAAAGCTTTGGTTCGAGGGAATGACGAAAAGCGTCAAGGAGCACGTGATGGAGTCGAAAGCCACTATTCTGGAGTCATCTCAGGGGCGAGGTTGCCAGGAGCAAAGGGACCCCGTTGCACCTAAGCCACAAGGGAGGTCTAAGGAGATCATGCATAGCTTTGATTCGCGCCTTGCTCGAATGGAGGAGGCAAAGAATGGCGTGGAAGGCCAAGTAGAGGACCTTGGCGAAAGGGTTGATGGACTTGAGGAGGAGGACGTCACCATCTATTCAACAGTCAGAGGTATGATGCTCCAACTTTAGGAGACCTTAATGGGTCAAATGACTAAGTTGCAGGAGGATTTTATGAGGAAGCTCCAAGTGCGAAGTGCCCACAAAGGATAGATGAATGACATTCGTGCTAGCTTGGAGGAGAAGCGTGGGGACATTTTGTTGTGGAAAAGGGCATTAGCGACACCCACCAACCATCAAACCTTCGAATCTAAGAGGATTGAGATGCCAAAACCAAAGAGTTTTGGAGGAACTCGTGATGCGAAAGAAGTGGATAACTTCTTATGGGGTCTGGAGCAATACTTCAGAGCAATGGGGATCATGGATGAAGAGGCAAGAATTCAATTTGCTATTCTTTATTTTTTAAATATTGCTATGCTATGGTGGAGAAGAAGGCGAGGAGATGTTGAAAAAGGTATGTGTACTATCTCTACTTTTGATGACTTTAAGAAAGAGTTAAAGAGACAGTTTTACCCTGAAAATGCGGAGGATGAGGCTAGAGCCCAGTTGCGAAGGCTCAAGCAAGTAGGATCGATTCGAGAATATATCAAGGAGTTTACTAGTTTGGTTTTTGAAATCCCTAATATGTCATACAAGGATGCTCTATTCAACTTCATGGATGAACTCCAACAATGGGCAAAGACAGAGCTTAGGAGGCGTGGTGCACAAGATCTCACTTCCGCCATAGCCATTGCAGAAAGCTTGGTGGACTACACAAAAGAGTCTACAAGCCAAAAGGTAAGAAGAACAACTATGTCAGAAGTGGGGGAGACCGGGAGCAACACAAGGAAGAGAATTGTCGTGAATCGACCTCATTCAAAACAAGAGATAATGGGAAGTTTAACAACAACAACAAGGCTAAACCATACAACAGTTGCTTCCTTTGTGGAGGACCACATTGGGTAAGGGATTGCCCGCAGAAGAAAGCTCTGAACTCTCTCCTCGCAAGCTATCAAGAAGTAGAGGAAAATGACATGAACGCTCAGGTAGGAACCATGCAACTACTCAATGTCGTACGCTCTTCTCCAAACACTCCAGCAAAAGGACTTCTCTTTGTAGAAGTGACTATAGGGAAGACATCCACTAATGCGATGATAGACACATGAGCTTCTCACAACTTCATGTCTATTGAAGAAGCGAGGAAGATGGGTCTGCAAATAACTGGAGGTGGAGGCTCCATCAAGGCAGTTAACTCTGGAGCTAGGCCAATCCATGGAGTGGCTAAAATTGTGAAGACCTGTGTAGGGGATTGGTCAGGTACGCTAAACTTCTCCATCATTCCCATGGATGATTTCAAAGTAATCCTTGGTATAGATTTCTTGGACCAAGTAAGGGCGTTCCTGATACCATTTGCCAATAGCATGTGTATCATGGGAGGCGACCAAGCTTGCCTTGTACCGACAACAAGAGCTAGGCAGCAGGAGACCAGGATGTTGTCAGCCATTCAATTCAAGAAGGGCATTCGACGAGAGGAGGAGAGCTACTTGGCTATCCTTCATGACTCCGATGAAGAATCGAAGCCCGAAGAAGCCAAGCTAAAAGAAGTAGTAGAAGTGCTTGCAGAGTTTAAAGATGTGGCGCCACCAGAATTACCGAAGGAACTACCGCCTAGAAGGGAGGTCGATCACCAAATTGAGCTGGAACCAGGGACTAAGCCACCAGCAATGGGAGCTTACCGCATGACACCTCCAGAACTGACAGAACTACGCAATCAATTGAAAGAGTTGTTGGAGGTAGGATTTATCCGACCATCTAAAGCCCCCTTTGGTGCTCCGGTTCTATTTCAAAAGAAGAAGGACGGCTCCTTACGCATGTGTATAGATTATCGGGCTTTGAACAAAGTTACCGTGAAGAACAAATATCCAATCCCTCTCATTGCCCACCTTTTTGATCAACTTGGAAATGCAAGATACTTCTCAAAATTGGATCTCCGATCAGGCTACTACCAAGTGAGGATAGCAGAAGGGGATGAACCAAAGACCACTTGTGTGACCAGGTATGGGTCATTCGAATTTTTGGTGATGCCTTTCGAACTAACTAATGCTCTTGCTACATTTTGCACCGTGATGAACAAACTATTCCAGCCATACTTGGACCAGCTTGTTGTTGTCTACTTGGATGATATAGTGGTGTATAGCAACACTCTCCAAGATCATCTAAAACATCTCCAGGACGTATTCAAAGTTCTTAGAGAAAACAAGCTATACATCAAGAAAGAAAAATGTTTCTTTGTCAAACAAGAAGTGGCGTTCTTGGGGCATAGGATAAAGGAGGGAAAGTTCATGATGGAAGAAAGCAAGGTCAAAGCCATCCAAGATTGGGAACATCCCACCAAGGTACCTGAATTAAGATCCTTCT